ACTTATCCATCCATCCACCTTGGGTTCGAACCACTTATCCATCCATCCATCTTCAAACCACTTTTCCATCCATCCATCTTCAAACCACTTATCCCTCCATCCATCCATCCAGCCATCCATCTTAAAACCACTTATCCATCCAACCATCCATCTTCAAACCACTTATCAAGTCAAGTCAAGTCATTTTATTTTGTATAGCCCAGAATCGCAAATTACAAATTTGCCTCAGAGGGCTTTACAGTCTGTACACATACGACATCCTCTGCCCCGAAACCCACCATCGGCACAGGAAAAACTCCCCAAAAAATGAAAAAAAACCCTTACAAGAGGGAAAAAAAAGGGAAGAAACCTTAGGGAGAACGTCAGAGGAGGGATCCCACTCCCGGGATGGACAGACTACAATGGATGCCATGTGTACAGAATGAACAATGTATAATACATGCAATTATATGACAGAAATGATTCAAGTAACTGTGAGTAGTAAGCCAGGCGCACAGCAGGACCACTGCAGAGGCAACCACCATCAGATAGAACCACCATCCACAGAATCCTGTGGGGAGGGAGAGCACAGAGATTTTAGGAGAGGGTAATGTCGGTTTATGAGTAAAGTAATATGATTAATGTCTAAAATAATGATGATGATGATGATGATGACGGCAGCAGCAGGCGTCAGCATGGCCACGGTAGGTGTCAGGACCAGGGTCCCGAAGGAACCACGATCTATGGAGACCTGGTAGGGGCGAAAGCACAAAAAAAACTCCCGGAAAGAAGCTGAATTAGTCATGTGCATTAATAAAACTTGAATTATGGTAGAAAGAGAGCGTGAGAGAGGAGCTCGGTGTGTCCTAAGAATTCCCCCGGCATTCTAAGCCTATAGCAGCTTAACTAGGGGCTGGTCCGGACTAACCTGAGCCAGCCCTAACTATAGGCAGAATCAAAGAGGAACGTTTTAAGTTTTACTTTAAAAGAGCTGACCGAATCTGCCCCCCGGACTGAAAGTGGAACCTGGTTCCACAAAAGAGGAGCTTGATAACTGAAGGCTCTGGCCCCCAGCCTACTTTTTAAAACCATAGGAACAACAAGTAACCAGCATCTATGGAGCACAGCTGCCTTGTAGGGCAATACGGTGTTACAAGCTCTTGAAGATACAACGGTGCCTCACCAGCAAGTGCCTTGTAGGTGAGGAGAAGTACCTTAAAATCTATTCTTGATTTAACAGGAAGCCAGTGCAGAGAAGTTAATACAGGAGTGATGTGATCCCTTTTCTTAGTTCTTGTTAATACACGTGCTGCAGCATTCTGAATCATCTGGAGAGGCTTAAGAGATTTATAAGAGCAGCCTGATAACAAAGAATTACAGTAGTCCAGTCTGGAAGTGACAAACGCATGAACTAATTTTTCTGCATCACTTTGAGACAGGAAGTTCCTGATTTTTGATATGTTACGTAGATGGAAATAGGCAGTCCTTGAAGTCTTCTTTATATGCGAGTTGAAGGTCATATCCTGGTCGAAGAGAACTCCCAGATTCCTGACGGTGCTGCTGGGTACCAGAGCAATTCCATCCATAAAAACTGTATCACGCGACAGCTGGCTTCGAAGGCGCTCTGGACCTATCAGGATAACTTCCGTTTTTTCTGAGTTTAGCATCAGGAAGTTGCCGGTCATCCAAGTTTTGATGTCTCCAAGACATTCTTGGAGTCTAACTAACTGGTCCGTCTCTTCTGGCTTGATCGACAGATACAGTTGAGTATCGTCTGCATAACAATGGAAGTTTATGCGGTGTTTCCTGATAAGATCGCCCAAAGGAAGCATATAGAGGGTAAATAAAATCGGTCCAAGTACAGAACCTTGTGGGACTCCGTGACCAACATTGGTGGTCTTTGAGGATTCACCGTTTACAAGCACAAACTGGGATCGGTCCGATAGGTAGGATTTAAACCAGCTGAGTGCAGTTCCTTTGATACCAATTAAATGTTCTAGTCTCTGCAACAGGATACAATGGTCTATGGTATCAAATGCGGCACTAAGGTCCAGCAAGACAAGAAAAGAGATGAGTCCTTGGTCCGATGCAAGTAGAAGATCATTCGTAATTTTCACCAGTGCGGTTTCTGTACTGTGATGCACTCGGAAACCTGACTGGAAATCCTCGAACAAAGCATTGTTTTGTAGAAAGTCACATAATTGATTTGCGACGGATTTCTCAAGGATCTTAGAGAGGAAGGGAAGATTAGAGATAGGTCTGTAGTTAGCCAACACCTCTGGAGCAAGAGTAGGTTTCTTAAGAAGAGGTTTAATTACAGCTACCTTGAAGGACTGTGGTACATGTCCTGTTAACAAAGACAGATTCATAATATCTAATAAGGATGTGCTAACTAAAGGAAAAACTTCCTTAAGCAGTTTGGTCGGAATCGGATCCAAGAGACAAGTAGAAGATTTAGACTTTGAAAATAAAGAAGTCAGTTGATCAAGGTTGATGGAAGAGAAGGCATCCAAACAGGCATCAGGGCCCACTGCTGCATCCAAGGAGGACAGGTCGGCACTGGTTGAAGGCAGGAGACCATCAATTTTCTCTTTGATAGTCAGAATCTTATCATTGAAGAAGTTCATGAAGTCGTTACTAGTGAGGTCCAAAGGAATACACGGCTCGACAGAGCTGTGACTCTCTGTCAGTCGGGCTACAGTGCTGAAGAGAAACCTGGAGTTGTTTTTATTTTTCTCTATTAATGATGAGTAATAAGATGCTCTTGCGTTACGGAGAGCCTTCTTATACGTTTTAAGGCTGTCTTGCCAAACTAGCCTAGATCCTTCTGATTTGGTGGAACGCCATAAACGTTCAAGCTTCCGCACAGTTTGCTTTAGGTTCCGTGTTTGAGGGTTATACCACGGAGCAGACTTCCTTCTTGTTGCTATTCTTCTTTCCAGAGGAGCAATAGCGTCCAATAACTTATCCAGCCATCCATCTTAAAACCACTTATCCATCCATCCATCCATCTTCAAACCACTTATACCTCCATCCATCTATCTTCAAACCACTTATCCCTCCATCCATCCATCTTCAAACCCCTTATCCATCCATCCATCCATCTTCAAACCACTTATACCTCCATCCATCCATCCATCTTCAAACCCCTTATCCATCCATCCATCCATCTTCAAACCCCTTATCCATCCATCCATCCATCCATCTTAAAACCACTCATCCCTCCACCCATCCATCTTCAAACCACTTATCCCTCCATCCATCCATCCATCTTGAAACACAAGAGCTGATCTCCTTTCACAGGCTTTTAAAACGTCCATGAAGGATGAACATTAAACGTTCTTACAATTGTGAAACACACTTGAATTGCGGTTATTCTGCTAATCGTTAAGAGAAACATCGGGTCGGAATCAATATTTAATAGTCTCCACTCCGACCCCGTGCAGGCACGTACATAAGTTCAGTAACTTATGTACGTGCTTTTCCAAACAGCTGTTAGCTATTTCTTCGCAAGGACGCGGCCCGTGGTGGTAGTACGCATCATCCCAACTGTTGGCACGTTGTACTTTAGAGAGAGAATGAATGCAACAGCATGTGGGACTTCTTCCTGGGAGCTTTACTGTCTCTAATTTGTCCCAGTGGTCTCGTAAACCTAAATTTGAGGTTCAAAGGTGAACCCTCAGGTGAACAGCCCTTTAGTTAGTTACTTAGGCTTTGTTACGCATTAGGAAAATGTTGCATGCATTCAGTCGCCATGCCTTTTTGAGGCATGAGGATGCATTCTAGGCGATGCTGCGGCAGCGCTTGGCGGTCTCCTGATGTGTCCACGCCGTCCTTGTGTGCAGGTGCTGGCGACAGACAGGAACCCGGGCATCGAGTACGAGTACTGGCTCCCACCAGGCAAATACGCCCTGCACCACGGGAGGAGTCCACTACGGGAAGCTCAGCACTCTGCCAACTACCTCCCCTGGGATCACCCCACCCCCACCACCAGCACCACCACCACCAGCACCACCAGCAGGCCTCCTCCCGTCACCACCAGACCCCACTGGTGTAAGTATAATATCAGCTGTGTACCATCATGCACCAGGGTAAATATAAATTATACAGTAAATCTTTGACACCCTCTTCTTACCACAGTGGTACCAACACAAAAATGTTCCGTCCAAAATTAAATGAGGTCATGGGGGATTTTGAAAGAGTTGATCTTCACGGTAATTCCGGGTTCTTGATGAGCCTGCTGCACACGTGTTCTGGATTCCTCCTCAAACACTCAACATTCACATGGAAATCATGAAAAACTCTTGATGTTGCCAGAAACAGTGTGATAATTTGTTTATTGGGTAACAAGGGGGAACCTTCCAGTCGCTGAGTCTGGTCATGGTGTTTGTCTAACGAGGTTAGACAGTAGATACAAGACAAGTGAAGTCTGTTTTTATCGTTCCGGGGTTTAGTCCAGCCGTGTATGTAAACATGCATCATTATTTCTGTCTCTTCTGCTCCTACGTGGAGCTGTCAGAGACGGAGCTCACACTGCCTGAACGAGTTTACCGCGTTGTCCACAACACGTGTGTGTCTGTGTGTGTGTCTCTAGATTTAAGGCCCTTGAAGCCGCCACACCAATCCCCCCCCCACAACCGCCCCCAGCAGCCCATCCTGCCCCGTCCGGAGCGGGAGGAGAACCACAGGAACCTCCTGCCTCAGCCTCCCCCTAGAAGTATGCCCCCCCCCTCCAGCAAGCTGTTTACCGTCAGCCCATAAACAATCATGACACTTGTTTCTGCCTGGTTTACCCCGCAGGGCATTGTGGGAAGTGTCGGCGGGTCAAAGGTCGAAGGGAACGCCAGAGACAGTATTGCCAGAAGGACTTTGGTGAGTCTAGTTTTTAAAAAACAACTTTATTTTACTTCTTATCCATTTCATTAAACCCTTTTCGCCCCCCCCCTTCCTCAGTTTTCCGAGGCCGAGTCCTCGGGAAGCTGTACCGAGGCGAGGAGACGCGCTACGACGTCCAGATCCTCCACACCTACCGCAACGGCTTCCGCCTGGAGCACCGGGAGTTCCTGTGGGTCCCCAACGTGTGCGACTGCCCCCGCCTGCAGGAGGGCCGGCAGTACGTGCTGATGGTCCGCCGCCACATCAACCACGAGCGCACGCTGAACCGCATCCTGCTGGAGGAGGACGGCTACGCCGCGCCGTACCGCCCCCGGGAGGACGCGCTGCTGCGGCCCCTCCACAGGCTCTGCAGCAACGCAGGACGCCAACAAGCCGCGGAGCCCACGGGATGAGCGTGTGCGTGTGCGTGTGCGTGGTATTCACGCCCAGCACGTCATTTCTGGACCTTTTAAAAACATCCCCGGACTCCCGTTGGTTTCGTCCTCGTTAAGAAGCCACACTTATTTAAAACCAGCTTCCTGTATCGTGTAGAGCACTTTAGGTGGATGCTTTCATCCACCTTTAAAACGAACACCAAAGAGCGTTTACTGAAATGGCCTTTTTGTTATTGCGTTTTTTCCACAGCTGTCATTTTACCTTTTTTTAAATTTTTATATTACTGTATTTGTGTGTAAACTATTTAGCTAAAAACAACTGATGAATAAGTTCCTCATTCAAATTACTATCTGCGACATGTAAAACAGGAAGACGGAAACACGCATATCAGTAGCTTTGGAATATTTAAACCAGCTGCACCAGGTACAAAATACTTACACTTATTTTAACAATTTTAAATAAAAGTCCTGCTGTGACTTCGTTAGCGTTTGTTGTGCAGTCAGACGTGGATTTTCCCTGGAAACACATTTCTTCACTATATTTATGCATAGAAAACGTAAGCTTAAACCACAACTCATTAACTTGTGTTTCACTTGTTCAACGTGTCTCTTGGTGTCTGTTTAGTGGTATTGTTGTTTGATTGTGTGTTAAATCAGGTCTGCTTTGTGATACTTTACGTGAAAGAGATTATAAAATATACAGTATTTTATTGCATGGCACTGATTAGCTACACGTATACTAAAGTATAATTTGACTGTTGTTCTTTTGAGAAAATGGCCAGTTAACCGCCTGTGTTTTTCTTTTTCTTTGACATTTAACAAACCTCATCTACGTGTGACAAAAATATGTATATGTACATTGTGTTCAGAGTGAATGAATATAACGACCAACTCTTCTATGCAAAACGTTCACAAAAACCAACAAAGCCGACAGCGGGACAGCAGCGTTTTTAAGAAAACAATGTATTTACAAAAAAAAGCACATATGCAACAAAGAAAACACTGAATATAAACTACAGATGATGTATTTACTTCATGACCGAGCCGCTGCTCATCATGAAATCATTATGAGGAAGTCATCGCAGTCAGTCGCAGGGTCCCTCAACATCAACATCAACGTGTGAGGGGCTACTTTTATTTGCTATTAATCATTTTTCTACTTTTTTAATTTCACAGCCGGGTGTTGCCTCGGCCAACGCGGCTCACAGGAATTCGGGAAATGACTCCGACCTCTCAGCGTAAATTGTTAAAGCTTTGTGTCCGCACAGCTTTTCCCGCCTGGACAGCAAAACCACGCTGTACGTTTTCAGGGGAAATATCTTCATTTGGCTGAAAGTATGTTTGCAAATTAAGTGACCCAAAATTCAAACGAATAAAATAACTCCTTGTCTGAATACTCTGTTGTACTCGGTGACTGACAGGACCTACGAATCGGCTGAGTGACCAGCAGGGGGCGACTCCTCCGGTCCCGTAGACGTCTATGAGAAAATGACGTCTCTCATTCCCTCAGCAAACAATGTAAACACGAGTTCATGGTCTCAATCTCTAGCTTTAAGTTTCCTTCGTAGAGAAAAGATTGTCTCCGTGGAAGCAGCACATCATTTTACACCACAGAGAAGCGAAGCGCGTCTCGGAGCTCGTGGTCATTTCACGTATTTCCGTGAGATCACAGTGGCCTCGACTGCTTCATCTGAAGGCGTGAGACAGAGAGCCTCTATCCCGTCTGGAAGTTTTAGTATTTGTTCCTCTTTTTCTTTTAGCACTCTTGGTTCCAATTTCTTTTTCAAAAAGGAGCAACACATGCGTAATAAAAATGTAAACAAGAATCAAGTCATTGATGAAAACCCGAAATGCGAGCGTCGAGTTCCTCACTGTCAGAAGCAAAATATTGTTTACGCCAATAAAAAAACCTTTTGTGTATTTCTGTTTAGCTGCCTCTCTGTGCGACCGGCCGTCTCTGAGCATTCAAAGATCCATCTGGTGAAAAAATGCAGAGAAGATACTGACGGGCCGCGACGTCCTCCGTTTATATTCATGCACATGAACAAATCTTTCTTGGGCTTTTCAGGCTGGAAAACAGAAACAGCTTTAAGTCGGCCTCAGGCGGCGCGTCTCCACCCGCGTGCTTTCATGCTGTTTTCAATTTGGTGACAAACAAAATCTGTAAAACAGCTGTAAAATCACAAAGCAAATTAGAAAAATCGCAAATAAATTGATGTGCAATAAAACCCAAATAAACGTTAAAACAAACTGAATTTCCTGTTTGCAACAACTAATCTCGATTATTTCCCCATTGAGGTTTGAATGTGCTGTTTTAATGTCGTCTCTCGTGCTGTTTTCCCTTCTCTTATCGTAAAGAACTCCTAATAATCCTTCATTTGCTTTTTATCAGTCGATTCTCTCAGTTAATTTGAAGTAAACGAGACGAGAGTCCATAATTGACTGAAATGTTAAAATGAAATGGTTTGTGCCAGTAAATTCTCTGGTTTGTAACGGTTAGCACCGAACAAAATAAAGTTCATTCTGTTATTCTGTGAAACCAGTCGTCATTGCTGCGGGTGATTTTAATTAAATTTAGATAAATTAATTAACACACTGGATTGAAAAGTCCTCAACAAATGTTTTCCCAAATTTGACAATTTGGGATACTCATGGAGCTCATGTTAAAAGCTAAGCTTTAGCTTAGCACAAAAGCTGAAAATATGAGGTCCAAAGTTCACAGCTACACGTTGATGAGCCTCCAAAGGCTAAAAAACAATCGGATGAGAATGTTATTTTGTTATTACGTTAACTTGGATCTTTTGGTGGGAAAAGAGAACTTTTAAGCTTAATTCCACAGTTCTGTTTCCAACTCTGAGAAAGATTTGTTCATGATCAAAAGTGGATTCTTTTAATACGAAAGAAAACATTAACTAGCATCTAGAATTCTCCCTTGTTTTAATAACAGCAGTCTAAAAAATTAAATATACTACAGAATTAAAGTTCATAGATGTCTTTACACCTACTGGCTGTGATCCTCAACACAGCGAGAGTTCACTCCTCCTGATCCCTTTGGCAATTCATTCTGTTACGCGTGTTTCCAAAACCACAGTCGAGTCCTCGGAGTGGTTTAAAAGTCGCAGTGCGACGCCGGCGGCATCGCGGCTTCGCCCGGCTGTCCTTACATTGGTCCCCCTCACCGCAGTGTGAGTCTTTGACCCCCGTGACCTCCACCCACGTCCGACCTGTTATCCACATTGGGTCCCGTCCTCCGTCACCAACCCCACCCACCCGCCCGCCCGCCCCTTCCTTCCCTTTCAGCCGGGGTCAGACGGTCACGGAGACGTGGCGAGAGGATCCCGCTCGCCGTTTGATGCGCGAGCGGCGAGGTCTGGATTCAGACTGGCAGCTGCACAGGGGGCCCAGCAGCAGCCAGAGGTAGAGGAGGACGCAGGCCCAGCAGGACGACATCTTCACCCAGAAGGTGGACCAGCTGCCGTGGGTGAAGGTGGTCTCCAGCACCGCCGACTCGTAGCTGGAGGAGGACAACAACGAGGCTCATTGGTGCACGGCTGTGTCGTCTCGTTCGTGGGACTTTTCCTGCGTCCCATGAAATATCATATTTTTGTTTGTTGTTGGTTGAAATCTTCATGAAGTTAAAGTTGTGGACATTTGATAAACCAAAAACTAAAATAATAAACAGATCAATTGACAGGGACATCATTGTTAGTTGAAGCCCTAAACTGTTTTGTCTTTATATGATGCTTTTATTGTGCTTTTATTTTTGCCGTCTTGGCCAGGACCCCCTGAGCTATACTCTAAATGCTAATAAACTCTAATTAAGATCACAGTTGACGGAGGTGAAAATTTGTCTCCTTCAGTTAATTTCCACCTTTCCAACCTACAATATCCTCAAAAGACAAATGTTGGATTTCATATAAATTACCTAAAGTGCCAAAATAATAATAATTGACTTTGCAATAAAGAAACAGAAATGGAATCATGCCACAAAACTAGATTTTTTAATAAAACCTGAACATAATGTGGACTAACCTGAACCAGTTGGTGAGGGTCATCATGACGTACAGCGAGGCCAAGAAGAAGACGAAGTGGAAGAAGAAGTAGCTGTAAGCCACCCGCTGCGTCTCGTTGTGAAGGACCTGCTGACAGCCTTTGTTCTCCTCGTCCGTCACAAACTCCTCCTCAGCTGGGACGAGTAAAGCAAAAGGATCAAATTCTCTGGCCGATTTAAGCTGCTTCAGAATACAAACTAAATATTTACATGTCAGTCCATCCATGGTCATATATTCTGTTTAATGCTCCTTTTGTTTTTGAATCTAATGGATTCTAATGGAACTCTGTTTAAATCTGTGTGTAAAGTTGTTGTTTCTTAAGCTGCGTGTATACGTGTGTGTGTATGTGTGTTTGCCTTAGCATGATGTCATCGGCACAAACCTTCCTCCTCCTCGGGGCAGCAGAAGCAGCACGTTGCTTTCTGGAACTCATAGCGGTAAACTTTGATCATCCAAAAGGGGCCGAAGACCTCCGCCAGGTAGGAGGCCTCGTTACTGCGGGAGAGGGAATCATGGTTACTATCAATTATGAATTACCTGCACATCATCGAAAGACAAACCACCCGCTTACCACGCAAAGAGGACACAGCAGTACATGATGGCTGCTCCGATGATGGCCACGGCGTTGCCCTCGTTCTGGATGCCGTCCTGTCCCACGCTGGGGTAACAGACGGTCATGTTCATGCCCTGATACACCACTGACACAGAGAGGAGCGTGTTAGCATGTCCTGATACACCACTGACAGACAGCAGCGTGTTAGCATGTCCTGATACACCCCTGACAGACAGCAGCGTGTTAGCATGTCCTGATACACCACTGACACAGAGAGCAGCGTGTTAGCATGTCCTGATACACCACTGACACAGAGAGCAGTGTGTTAGCATGTCCTGATACACCACTGACAGAGAGCAGCGTGTTAGCATGTCCTGATACTCCACTGACAGACAGTACATTAGCATGTCCTGATACACCACTGACAAAGAGCAGCGTGTTAGCATGTCCTGATACACCACTGACACAGAGAGCAGCATGTTAGCATGTATTGATACACCACTGACACAGAGAGCAGCGTGTTAGCATGTCCTGATACACCACTGACAGAGAGCAGCGTGTTAGCATGTCCCTGATACACCACTGACAGAGAGCAGCGTGTT